TTTGAAAACACCACCCACTTCGCGTGCCCGTAGCAGCTGCACTTAACTTTCAATTGTACATGCCCAGTTGCTTCAGCACGCCGGTGTGGGCTGCTGATCTGGCTTTGGCATAGACCTAACCCAGTACGCCACGCTGTTGCGAGCTGCTGATCTTGCACAGACCTTGCACAGGCGGCGATGTGTTGGTGAAAAGTTCGGAGCGCAGGCGTCTGACTCAGGGACACGAGGGACACGCATGGTGGAAAGAACCTGGACACTCCTATAGGTCAAGTTCTTCTTATAGGAAACTTCCGCCGCCGGCTTGCCCGGGAACTGCTTGTAAGGCACTTGTTACTAGTAGCGATGCACTTGTTCCTAGTAGCTTCTTGTTACAAAAAAAAGAATTAGCACTTTGATCGAAGTAAGCTTCGTCGAACTCTCAAAGATCAACGTGTTGCACCGCCGTTGCTACGCCATCACTACACCAAACAAAAGGGCATGCTTTTGTCGAGCAAAAGCGCTGAGATGCGCTGAGCAATCTCGGCACGGTCGCAGTTTCGACACGAAAAACTCCTCATCATCCCTCAGCGCTGGCTCCGCAAACTTCACGGTCTCAGTTGGCGGGATGCCAGTTTCTCAGCTTCGCCACCACAACCAGACTTGAAACAAGCAGTAGACACAGCATGTGCGACTTGGGAGGAGAGTGTGTTGCACCACGTTGGGATCCTTCGATTTAGAAAAAGCAGGATCTCATGTTTTTTCAAACACGTAAAGTGCTGGGGCTGGAGCGTAGCCACAGCGGGAGACAGCTTCCAGAACCACTTCCTCTGAGCTGTCGGATAAGGTTACGCGGAGAATAGTTTGTAGACAATCAGAAAAATGGGCAGAGTCCATCGTCATCTCTCTTTCGGACTACCAGTGCTAAGGCCAGTACTATCAATGTGTTCACTTTCGCATGATCGATTGAAACCGCTGCTTTGCTCGCTAGCTTCCCCTTGCCCTTGGAGCCTTCTCTCCCTTCAGTTCCACTGATGCACAGTGCAACGCGCTGGGGCAATTGCGAACTGCCTGCATCCAAATTGAACAATAATTCTAACTTGCAATCCACGGGAAATGACAGTGCTTGCGTTCTTTGCGTTTCTACTTCTCCATAATTCGCCTCCAACACCAGCGACTTGTTCTGCCGGAGCTTGGCGTCGGCGTAGGCCAATGCCTCCGGGCTAGTTGCCACGGCCTTTTGTACCACTTCGAAATCCGCCCGCAGCCTCCGCGCGATAAAGGGAAAGAAAGAAACACTCGAAGGCTGCAGATTCGCTTGCGCCAGAAGTGAAAGGTCGAACTGACGAAGGATCTCAAGTTGCTTTCGCTGGCATCCACTCTGCCTTCTTATCTTCCAGAGTTTGGGCTGTGCCTGGGGGATGCATATTGCAATGCATAGCCAGAAGCCTCCACGGCAGCCAATACGATGTCACCTTGACTGTCAATACGAAAGCAAAGACCTAGAAGACAGCAAATTAAATGCTGTGCAACTGTCATCGAGCTTGTGGCTTATAATGCCAGGAGCTGGCCTCCAACCTAATAGCGATGGCCTCCAACCCAGCTTCTTGTTGCGATATCTAAAATAGAACAAAATTCCCACCAGCTTCTTGCTGCCAAAGCTGCGGTTGTCGCACAGGGCGCTGTCATTTGCCAACGTTGACGGTCGGCACCGGACTTTCTCCTGGGTGGGCAAAAGGAAAAGGAAAGTTGGGACCTCAAAGCTAAGTGGGCGGAATGAAACCTAGTAGTGATCTTGCTCCTAGTAGCGATGCCCTTGTTACTAGCAAAAGACAAGTATTTTGGTCTGGCTCCATGAAATAGAATGAAATAGACGGATTGGTCCTCTAACGAATGTCCCTCAGTCTCAAGAGACGCGGTCTCCTCAGTCTGTCAACACGAGACAATCACATCGTTCTTCGTTGTTTCGGAGCTCTTCTTTCGGCTTCGTTGTTTCACTGGGTCGGCATTGTGCCTTCTTGAGACTTCTCAACTTCGTCCTTAATGGACTGAACCATCCTTTATGAAATCAATCGCTCATGTTTCGAGCCGTATCCGGTATACCAAAATAATTCTTTGTTACTAGTAGCGATGCACTTGTTCCTTGTAGCTTCCTACCCCCCCCCCGCGCGCGAAAAGGTCCTAGTAGATTCCTTTGCTAGTAATTACAATTCGAATTAAATTCGTAACTTGTTACTAGTAGTAAGGCACTTGTTTCTAATAGCGAACATTGTTACTACTAGTAAGGCACTTGTTACTAGTAGCGATGCACCTGATTCTGTTGATCCGGAGACTTGGGTCTGATGGCAAACTGAAAGCAGCTGGCTTGAAATTCCCACGCTCTGGCCACTGGGACACCAGCCTTCATGGAAAACTGGTCCTGCAAAGTCCAACCAAGCAAGAGAAGACTGACAAACGAAAGGCAAAAGAACGTTGAATGACAGAAAGCAAGAAAGCAAGCACAGCAAGGAAAACAATGAAGGGAAAGGGAAAGGAAACTGAGAAAAGAAAACAAAAAATAAAAACAAAGAGCCGCGGTTCCTCTCGGAAGAGACCATGACCGAAGAGCAAGTTCTCGGAGATGGCCTGGCATCAAATCTCATCTGAAGTGAACATATTGATTGGCACTATTTCGCAGGGGGGAACTTTGCTCTGGAAAAGCATGATAGAACTGATTGGGGAGAGAGGTCCGGGTATGCTGTTTGGGCTAAAGGTTGAGGAGGCACAGGGAAAGGAATTGTACGGAAGAAAAAAAGAAGGAACGATAATATCTGGCATAACATCTGGAGACCCCAATCTGGCAGGTGGCGGAAAGGATTGGGCGGTGAACACGAAGACAAACAAGGTGGGAAGAAAAGGAACTCTTGCACGGCTCGCTCATAGACTTGTCCACACGGCACAGTCCTCAGAGCCTCTGTCCAAAGCTCTCCGTGGACTGTTGGCATTCATCCTCAAGAGATGTAGCTTCCACCACTGTCTGATCTCCCTGTTGTTTTAATCTTTTCTTCGGTATACACTGCCTCTTGTGAAGACCAAAGAACGACACACAGTTCTCAACCATCGACTGTCAATTTGTAAGAATTACTAAGCCTCACACAGATTCGCCCATCGCCATTAGGGGATACTTCCAAGGTGAGGAGTTCTAAACTCTAGGCATTGATTTCCGATGCTTTGTGTTGATTTGATGTGTTTCCAAGGGTCAATAAAAGGGGGAACACTTCGCAACTGGGATTCGCTTTGCTGCCTTAAGCCCTTGTGGGTACTTGCTTTTGTTAGGGTTTTGAATCTTCCGAATGGTCTTCCACTCTTCCACACAATTTGCTGATTTGCTACTGTGGTCCTCCCTTGACCTTGGTGCTAAATATTTTGCTGACTGTCCAAGCCTTGAGCCATAAATGTGATGAAATGGAAAGAACTAACTACTACTATACTACTGTCTAATGACTTAGGCCAACGTGATGCAAGTGACATACCAATCTGGCTACCCCCCAGGACTAAGTCATGTGCCCTGACATATCGAGCTAAAAAAAAGGTCTGGGTTGGGAAACCTGGTGTCATAGGACCTGTGGACACCTCCTCGACAAAAAATGTAAAAACACAGCTAAATAATGCTAGATACCACTGCCTGGCACCCTGGTGACACAGTGGTGACATAGGGTGCGACTATGTGTTTTTGCGGGCGCTGTTTCCTTGAATACCTCATACATATTTCTATGAATATCATGGTTGTGGCCTGATGACATAGGCCTTAAGAGGAAATGCCAATGTTGGATCAATCTTGATGACATAGGCTTTTGGAATTGGCGCGTATGTCCGACAAGTCCTAAGTTACTAGTCAGTAGTATATATACAAAAAAAACAGTGATTGTCCACCACAAGAGTTGGTCTTGATGAAGAAAATTATGCTCAGTGTATGAGAAACCATTGGAAGTGGGGGGGCATACCTTATTTGATGAAATAACACATGAACTCAAGTTTGCGATGGGGTTCTTTTGAAAGCAGGGTACCACTCAAAATTGCCGTCTGAGAAAGGGTGGTAATATTTCAAACCCATGGACGTTGGGGCACTATTTGGTGGTTCATGCCATTTAGCAAGTGGTTAGTAACCTTTGATAATACATCCCTGGCTCCTGGGTAACTTTCCTTACAACTGGGTCAAAGCCGCCCTCAATTGTCAACCAGTTGCCAATGAGGTGAGCCGCCAACGAACCATCCGTGGACAAACCCATGTGGTCACCCACTACGACAATGGTCACTTCACTGGGTTTCTTTTCGGCTGGTTATGCGTTTGCTCTGTCTCACGAGCCATCAACGAATGAAGTTCCATGCGATGGTGAGGCCCTTGTCAGCTGAGCATTTTGGTCGGTAAAATCAAAAAATGATAGGGTGCTGGTATTTACACCATTCTGGAGGCACCTTCAGCACTTGGGCAAGTGAGGTGGGGACGCACTGATACTTACAAACAAAAAAGTTTCGCTAGTGAATAGCGGGGGCTGGGAATTGGGAGGCATGACAAGAAGCTGTTCGAATCGGAGTATCCGTTGAGTAGTTGGGACAGGGGACAGAAGGGAAAGGGATAAGTGTTTGTTATTAGTTCACTCTATGTTTGTCTTTTTGTTTTCTGCTTTTCAGTTGTCTCGCTCTTTATATATGTTGTTTTCTTTTCGTCTCCTCCTTTTCTATCCTCTGCTGAGTCCCCAGACGCTACAACAACTCCTGATGAGGAAAATAAGTCTTGTTTACAATGTGTGTGATAACTGTCTGTCGCCATGGTTGTCGTTTCCCAAACTGCGCTATTGCTTCTCATCTCCTTTCTTGCGCGTTCCTCTCCCCTTTTTACTTTTGTGTTCCTTTCTCTTGCTCTTCGCCTCAAAGAACTTTAGAAAGCTATGGTTGTGTCAAATGGCTCAAGCATGAGTTGCGCGTATTGCGTTGTGTCTGGGATTGCGTTTGGCTCTGTGTTTTCAAGCGGCGTGGCTGGCCTTGCCTGTAGGCGCCTACTTAAATTAGTAAGGGAGAAATGCGCTCCTAGCTACTTAAGCTACTACATATGGACGCAGGATAGCTCAGGCTTTGCACTAATGATGTGGTCCCTAGATTTTTGGGGAAACTTAACTTTCTTGGTTGATTACAAAGCCACCCGTGCTCAAAGAACTAACTGTGCGCACCGCTCACCTCTGCGGCTGTGGGCACGCATGATGTCAAGTACGTGTGGACGTCATCGTATTCATGAATGGGACTTCGAAAAGGAAGTCAGCGAAACCCTTTTGTCGGCTGAAAATCAGCTAGAAACAAACGGCCTGGTTTTCAGGTCCAGCCACTGTGCTCCACGACTAACACCGTCACCCATCAGCATCGGGACGACATGCGAAATTCATAAGGCATTCTTGCGTGCATTGATTGCACGCACCCTGCTCGTAAAGGTGACTGTAACCTCGTGCAAGTCCTAGAGCCTTCCTACCAAGCCTGTCAGGCGACACTAAGGCAGATGAACTCACCAGACATGTATCCAAATCTTTGAAGTAGTTCACCATCCACTTTTGGTCTTTGATTCCATGGTGCATCACCGGCCCAATGGAACTCCCATGGTTGTCCAAATAAACGCCATCATCCACGAAGAAGTTCATCCGCGGCCACACCGACAAGACGCAGGCGCTTCGGCCCGGGCGACACAGCCGACCCAATTTGGTGCCATCCAAACGAAAATTCCGCGCGCGAAGAGCTTTTGTTGCCTCTTTAATAAAGCGCCAGTAAGGCCGAAGGTCCTCCACACTGGCCTAAACAGTTGGTTGTTTCTAAAGGCAAAGAAAACCAACATCCAGTTCAAAAGACCTACAACATGTCTGTCTTCATCGCAAGAATGTGAAGTTTGTGAAGTTTGGACGGAACCAAAGCAGACTTTTTGAGTCAACAAAATCTCGGGCACAATTAGCAGAATCGGCCAAAAACAAGCTAAAATCATGAAGAACAACACCAAATAATAACTTGTGAGTTTTGCCCAGTGGCAGTGAGATTGGCATAAAGCTGTTGCACCAAAAGTGCCTCTGGCAACTCCAACATCTCCAGTAACGCCAAGTGCAGGGCTCCATTGTCAGCGCTGCTGAAGCCCGGAGGGAAGCGGAATCGAAAATGGGTCCAATGTCGCAGAAACTCCAGCACCCAAGGCTCGTTCACAGCGATGTAATTCCCTGCCATTGAAAAAAGAATGGCCACGACTTGAAGTGTTTATTTGCACCTTTCTGCATCCAATTTCAGGGGCTCAAAAAAGATCAAAAAAGGACATGTCAATATGGATGGCTCAGGAGATAGAAAGTACGCCCAAAGTCCCAATTTTGACTACCCATTTCGCGGATCTAACCTGGAATTTGGACCCCTACTTGGTGGTTCATCCCAATTTCAATAACCGTATGTCCGTGAGTCCATGATTCCAGGAATATTCCCCATATGCTACTAGGAACAAGAAGCTACTAGGAGCAAGGGCATCGCTACTAGGAGCAAGGA